TAGTCCAAAAACTCACAAACACACACTGCAAAAAATGATTTTCTTACTTGGTATTTTCATCTTGTTTTCTAGTATAAATATCTAAACATTTTTGAATCAAGATGCATTCACATGACAAGTAAAATGACTTGAAACATTAAATCTGGTTTTCTAAAAAAAATTATCAAAATTAAGTGAGTTTAAGCTTAAAACAAGAAAAAAAATCTGTCAATTATTTATAAAAAATACATTTTAACAAGATTATTTTTCTGAGCCCATGGACACACATTTTGGTCAATAAAAAATAAAAAATTTAAAAAAAGGGGGAAAATGTACAAAAATAATAATAATTAAAAAAAAAATACAATGATTGAAAAAATAGTGAAACAATAAAATAATAATACAAAAATAGAATAATGAAAAAATAAAGTTTTTTGTTGTACTGTTAAGAAAATTTTTGTCTTAAGAATAAACGTTGACTGCTAATTGTGCTTCTCAAGCAAAAGTATCTTGATTTAAGAAAGTGTAGATATCTGTACTGGAAAAGACAGAAACGAATACAAAATAACACAAAAACACAATTTTCACAGTGAATTTCTCCTGATGAAGCCATACGACAAAAGTCTTCACTCGACTCATAATCAATAAAACAATCTTTCACTGTTAGACACTGCGGTTTAAAGAAAAGAAACGAAGCGACGCGAGCAAGCCTTCAAACACACAAACATACGAGACAGAGCGGCCCGTGCTGAGCTACTGAGCCCTGACAGAAACACAAGAATCACCGCATTCGTCTCGTCAGCTTCACAGGAAGATGGATTGTATATTCAGCGGAGAAATCATGACGGATATGCAAAACATTAAGACAAATGTGCACATTAGTACTGTAAGACTTAATGAGTGTAAGACAAACACACGACGAAGAAGACAAACAGGTGAATGAGTTCTTTATCACATTCACCCTTGTGTCACTCCAAACCCGGATGACTTTACATCTTTTAAGACTTTAAACGGAACACAAAAAGAGAAATTGTATGCATGCAACGCACCAAAGTTAGAGTAAAAAACACACGAATGAGATCTGAGAGATGCAATGGAGGGGAACATTTGGGGAAAAACTGACTGATAATGGCATGACAAAGACTGTAAAAAGAATACAATAAAATAAAACAAAATGAAAAGAACAATTGAAATAATAATAATAATGGGGGAAAAAATTCAAAAATCAAACAATAAAATAAAATACAAATGAAAAAAAAAAAGAGAGATTAATGGTAAAACACAATAATGGAAAAATTTAATTAAATAAATAAATAGGGATAAATATAACAATAAAATAAAATAAAATGAATAAAAAAGATTAATGGAAAAAACAACAATTGAAAAAAAAAAATAGGGGAAAAAATGAAACAATAAAATAAAATAAAATAGAATAAAAATGAAAAAAAAGAGATTAATCGTAAAACACAATAATGGAAAAATAAAAATAAATACATAAAATATAACAATAAAATAAAAATAAATAAATAAAAAGATGGGAAATAAAATAAAATAAAAAGTTAGTTTTCTGGGAAATTCATCACAATTAAGTTAAGCGATAAAAAATATATATATTAATTTACTTATTTCACATGAAAAACATTTATGTTTTGACCTCATTGCCAGAGATTTAAATTTTTTTTATGGCATTTTGAATGTCAGTTTAAGAATGTTCAGATATTGATACTGAAAAATAAGACAAAATACTGAGAAAGAACATCACTGTTTGAAGTGAGAAGAACTGAAATAGTAGGCATGCACCGAATGTTCGGCAACCGAAATTATTCGTCCGAAAATAGCAAAAAAAGCTCTTTCGGAATAAGCGAAAAGACAGAATAAATTGTACCGAATAATGATATGACGCGATCAAATAGCATCCAGTGAGAGTCTATGTTTTCTAATACACGCGCGCATTGCATGTATTCTGACAGCGCGATCTGCTTGTTAACCAGGGTTCAAAGCGCGAGGAACATCTGCGCTGATACAGTCGTCCGTTGCTCAGTCACATTGTTATGAATTTTTACAAGTCATGTGACAATGTGATACGTGCGACGTATTCGGCAAAAAACTGATTCATGAAGAAAACGTGAACGTGTTTGTCTGGCCGTCACAATGTGTGAGCGCTGAAGAATAATGAAGAACAAGGCCATACTATAATGCTGGGATTCACAAACTTATTTATCAGCTGAACCCTTTGAGGTAAAAATATTTACTTGAGGTTGCCCTGAAATTTTGAAGTTAACATTTAAAAAAATTCACAACACATTCGCATGTTCACCGTTCTTGGTTAATGTTGGTTAATGCTCAAATAACATGCAGCCAAAAAAATAAAAAATAAAATAAAATATTTACTTAAAATTAAAAATGTGCTTTCCATGAACTCATGAACTCCAGTTTGGGAAACCCTGATAAGATAAGATAAGATAAGATAAAAATATTTACTTAAAATTAAAAATTTGCTTTCCATGAACTCATGAACCTTCCCTCATGAACTCCAGTTTGGGAAACCCTGATAAAATAAAATAAAATAAAATAAAATAAAATAAAAAATTGTTTTATAATTAAATTACTTAAAATAAAAAAATTAGCTTTCCATCGACCCAAGAGTAACTCAGCATTGAGCTCATCCCACCGGCAAACAACAAACATTACAAACAAATGAACTACTTCAAAACACCTTCAAAACTCATTAAGCATCAACAACTGCTGCAAAAAACTGATTCATGAAGAAAACGTGAACGTGTTTGTCTGGCCGTCACAATGTGTGAGCGCTGAAGAATAATGAAGAACAAGGCCATACTATAATGCTGGGATTCACAAACTTATTTATCAGCTGAACCCTTTGAGGTAAAAATATTTACTTGAGGTTGCCCTGAAATTTTGAAGTTAACATTTAAAAAAATTCACAACACATTCGCATGTTCACCGTTCTTGGTTAATGTTGGTTAATGCTCAAATAACATGCAGCCAAAAAAATAAAAAATAAAATAAAATATTTACTTAAAATTAAAAATGTGCTTTCCATGAACTCATGAACTCCAGTTTGGGAAACCCTGATAAGATAAGATAAGATAAGATAAGATAAGATAAGATAAAATAAAATAAATTGTTTTATAATTAAATTACTTAAAATAAAAAATTAGCTTTCCATCAATTCAAGAGTAACTCAGCATTGAGTTCATGCACCGGCAAACAACAAACATTACAAACAAATGAACTACTTCAAAACACCTTCAAAACTCATTATGACGATCATGAGCAACTTCAAATTAAATTCTGGTACAGAATTTAATTGAGAAAATGCATCTGCTATAAATTCGTTAAAGTGTTACAGAGAAAAACATTTCCTCGAGGTAAATTTAGTTAAAACTGATGAGTCACTGATCATTTCTTTAGTACACATCAGTAAAAACAGCAAAATGATCATTCTTGCCCTGCCATTTGAACCACAGATCTACATTGCAGCTCCTATAAGTGACTTTTATTACGTGCCAAAGCCAGTTTCCACTCTCGTTCGGTGTTTGACGAGTTACACGCTGAAGTTTAATACTTGTTTAAATCTCTAACTCACAGCAAACGTGAGCTCTGAGGACGTCAGACAGAACCGTTCCTCATAAAGCTCAGCTCTCCGTCAACGTAAACCACCGAAAACAAGAAGAGACCAAGCCCTGAGTCTGTCTCTTCTGCTCAGCAAGGCTGTATTTATTTGATCAAAAACATAGGAAAAATTGTGAAATAGTATTCCAATTTAAAACAGCTGTTTTCTGTGTGAATATCTGTTAAACTGTAATTTATTTCTGTGATCAAAGCTGTATTTTCAGCATCATTACTCCAGTCTTCAGTGTCACATGATCTTCAGAAATCATTCTAATATGCTGCTTTGCTGCTCAAGAAACATTTCTGATTATTATCAATGTTGAAAACA